CCCCAACCCTGTGCCGCCACTCCTCCCATCCCCATCCGCACCCCCCTGCGCCCCTCCCCGCCCTCCCCGCAGACGCGGAGGCGCTGCAGGCGTTCCAGGACCTGTCACGCCTGGAGGGAATCATCCCCGCCCTGGAGACCAGCCACGCGCTGGCCTTCCTGGACAAGCTGTGCCCCACCGTGCCAGACGGCACCCGCATCGTCGTCAACTGCAGCGGGCGCGGAGACAAGGACGTTATGGTGGGTGGGGTGGGGTGGGGTGGGCGGCGTGCGCGTGGTGTGCGGCGTGTGTGCGTGCGTGTGTGTGTGCGCGCGATAGTACTGCTGATAGCAACACACCACTGTATTGGCGCCACCCTCCTGCCCACCCCCCCTGCCGCCACGCAGAACGCCGCCAACTACCTGCCGCACCTCAGCGGCGGCAGCACGCAGTAGAGGCGGAAGCGGCAGGCCAGCCGTGGGCCGGCGGTCGGTCTGCGTCCCTCCCGCCAGCTGGAGGCGTTTTCCCTGCCGCAGTTTTGTGTCTCCAGCTGGGCGTGCCCGCCCTCGTGTGATACCACACCGGCCGCACAGCCAATGCATGTCCCTTGCGGCCGCCATACGTGAGCCCTCCCAATTTCATACCTTGTCCCCCCCCCGCAATTTGTTTCGGCTCCAGCAAGCTGGAGCCGCCCCCATTAGGTTGCAAATATTACAGGTCCCTGCTACCGCCAGGCGCTGGCAAGAGGCCCGAGCGTGCGGCAGCGCAGCGGAGGGAGGCGCTTGGAGCGGCAGCCGACACGGTCACAGCTCGGTGTGCGGTTCACAAGCGTCGCTGCCTGTGCCTGCCTCGTCTGCCGCCGTGTACTGCGTCGCCTGCTGGCTGTCCTCTTCTGCCAGCCCCTCCACGCTGCGCTCCTCTGCGGTCTCCCACTCTGAGCCGTCTTGCGGCTCGCCCTCCTCCCACTCTTCCGCTGCCTGCTCATGGTCGGCCTCTGCTTGGAAATCCTCCCAGTCGTCTGCCTCTGCCTCTTCATAGTAGGCCGGCGGTGCTGCTTCGGAATCCTCCCAATCCTCTGCGCCTGCCTCTCCATGGTAGGCCTGTCCTGCTGCTTCGGAATGCTCCCAATCGTCTGCGCCTGCCTCCCCATGGTCAGCCTCTGCCGCTGCTGCCTCGTCCCAATCCTCTGCGCCTGCCTCGGCATGGTAGGCCTCTGCCGCTGCCTCGGAATCCCATGCCGGATCTTCTGCATCTGCTGCCGCTGCTGCCCGCTCTGCGCGCCGCTCGGGGTGCTGCGCTATCCCCTCTGCCACAATGTCCCGCTCATGGTAGGGGTAGGGGCCTGGTGCCTCCTCCGCCGCCTCCGCCGCCTGTGCCTGCTGCTCCTCTGCCGCCTCCTCTGCCTGCTGTACCAGCTCTGGAGGTATCTCCAGGCTGGCGTGTGCCGCCGCCACCTCCCTGGCAATCTCCTCTGCCTGCATGCCCAGCAGCAGCAGCAGCGCTCATGGCCAGGCCAGGCCAGCCTCCTGCCCTGCCAAACAACTCGCCACTCCGCCCGCCACCCGCCCCGCCACCCAGCCGCCCGCCGCGCGCCGCCTCACCGTGCCGCACTCGCGCTCCAGCTCCTCTGACGGCGGGCACACCTTGCGGTGCCTGTCGCAGAATGCCTCGTTCAGGGTGGAGATGACCTGGCGGGCAGGCGCAAAGCAGCAGGGAAAACAGGCGGCGGTGTGAGGCAATCCAGGCAATCCAGCTGTGCTGAGGCCGCGCCAAAAGGGCACCGGTTCCCTCGATTCACTGCACACAAGCCTGCGGCTGAGGCTGCGGCCCCCCTTCCCCCCAGCTTCCAGGCAGGCGCACCTCTATGGCCAGCAGGTCCCGCAGGAAGCTGGCTCCGGTGGTGGCCAGGGAGGAGGGGCGCGGCGGGTGGGCAAACAGGCCGCGCTTGGCGCTGTGCGGGCTGGAGCTGCGCAGCAGGGGCGCGGCAGGGGCGGCGGGCCAGCTTCCAGCTGTCAGCCAGCAGCAGGGTCGATGGGCGAGGGCTGGGGCTGCCTGCCCGCCTGCCCGCCACGACACCGCCCACCCCAGCCGCGTCCGCTCTGCCGCCACCTGCCAACAACCACCTGCCAACAACCACCTGCCCGCCGCGCGCACCTGAGGTTCCAGGGCGGGCATGCCAGGGCCTGGAAGTCGTAGTGCCAGTGCTTGTCAAAGGAGTAGCCGCTGCCCGCGCCCACCTCCCACAGAATGCCGTAGTGCAGGACGCGCACCGGCTCTGCGGGGCGCGGCGGGGCGGGCAGCATGCGGTACCACCGCGGTCAGGTGGGTGGTACCGCGGCGAGGCGAGCGGTAGCGCGTCAGGACCGGGCGTGCGGCGCCGACATGCGCTGCCCGGCCCGGCCCAAGGCCCGGCCCAAGGCGGCAGGGCTGGGCATCGCTGCCACCGGCGTGCCCCGCTGTCACCGTCGCCCTCTGGCTGCCCTGCGTGCAGCCTCGTCCGCCTCACCCTGGAAGTGCTCCAGCCCCACTTCGTACCCTGGGTACAGCATGGCGGTGGTGTGCACCCGGTGCCACACCCCCGCCCGCGAGCAGCCAAAGCTGTAGCCATACATCTCAGCGATCCAGGGGCGCTCGCCCTCCCGCGCATAGTGGTCGCCAGTCAGGTTCCAGGCCTGCGGGGCACGGCGGCGGCGGCGGCGGTGGTGGGGCGCACCAACCCTCCCACACACACCCGACTTCCAACTGCGCTGGTGCTCTGTGCAAGCGCATGTGCATGACCCCCGCCACCACCACAGCTGCAGCCGCGCCACCCCACCACCCTCCCGCCACCCTCTCAAGCCACCAACCTTGGGGTCGAACCGCACGTCTTCGGACAGCTGCAGCCACAGGGGCCCCACCCGCCGCAAGTCCTCCCGCTCCATCAGGGTGAAGCCGCCCACCTGCGGGCGGATGCGCGGGGCGGGCCGCGGGGTGGGAGCAGGGGCAGGCCAGCCGCGGCGCCTGCGCAGCGCTTGGGCAGCGCCATAGGAGTGACTTAAATGCAGCGGCGCGGGCCCGCTGGCCTGCCTGCCGGCCTGCCAGCCAGGCGCACCTGGTCTCCGCGGCGGCCCACCGGCCCCGCCAGGCTGTCCTGGCGCGGCTCCACCTCGGGCACATGGCGCAGCGCCAGCTCATTCTCCACGCCTGCGCAGCAGGCACAGCAGGCACAGCAGGCACAGCAGGCAGTTGCCTCTACTGGCTGACCTCCCGCCCAGTGCGCAGTCTGCAGGCATGGCACCAAGAGGCGACAGCAAGCGCTTCTGCTGTCTGGGCGCACCACGCCAGCAGCACCACGCTACTACCTGCAGCCACTCACCAACCATGTAGCCAAAAAACCCGCTGACGGCGGTCCCCGGGGCGGCCCCCAGCTCCTGCGCCAGCGCCGGCCCACAGGCTGCGTGAGCGGCGGCAGCCCGGGTGGGTGCAGCCCACCGCGGCGGCGAGAGGGCAGCCCTCTCTCCGCCAATGCTCCCCAGGCACCAGAAACCAGAAAAGCCTGCGGGGTGCCGCCCCCTCAACATCAACCGCAGCCGGTCCACGCCGACCGCAGCCCCGCCCCGCCAGCACCCAAACCACCCAGCGCCCGCTCGCCTGCGGCAGCACGGGCCGCCTCATGATCATGTCTGCATCGATGACCAGCACATAGTCCTCCCGCACATCCGTGTGCGCCAGCCAGTCGATCACCGCCACCGGCTTGTTGATGCCAGGGTAGACTGAGGGGCGGGCAGGGCGAGCAGGGGAGGGCGGCAGGCTCCGTGGGCGCAGGCGGGCAGGGTGCGTGCGCAGAGGCGGCGGTGATGGTGGCGGGGTGGGCCCGCAGGCCAGCCGGCAGGCAGACGGGGTTGCTGCTGCAGCTGGCAGGGCTGCCCCGCCGGCGCAGCGGCGCACCGTCGCCGGTGCGGGGGTGCACGCTGTAGGATGGCGCCATGTGGGTGGCCACACCCTCAAACTCCAGCTCCCTGTCCGCCTGGGGCAGCCTCTCCCAGTCCTCGGGCGTGCAGCTCACGAGGCGGGTCACGGGGCCCGGCATGCCCGCCTTGCGCATGCTATACACGATCCCTGCAGGTGGCAGCGGCAGGAGGGGAATGGAGTGCATCGTCCCTGCCACAAGTTGCACCCTAAACACCATGCGAATGGAACACACCGATCATTTGCCTGCAGCAGGGGACAGGCAGCGACGGGGTCATTCAGGAGGGGGAGAAGCGGCAGCAGTGGGAGGCGACGAGGCGGCGGTGGCGGCACTCTTGCACCAAGGCCTCCCCCGCGGCACCCTCGCTCACCATGTGAAGTATTGGCTGCACTCAGTTGCAATCAGGGTGTGCGTAGTGGGCTCTCTGTCCGCTGTCGTGAGTTGAGGAGTGGAGGCAAGCACAATGCTGGTGACCCAGGCTTGCAGCCATGGTGAAAGCCTCCTGCGCCCCATTACTTAAGGTTGAAGCTAGCGCCGCCGCATGAGGGTGCTGTCGAAAACAAGTTGCACTGCCAACTGCGAAGACAAGAGGCCAACCAAGGCCTGCACCTTCCTGATCGCTTTACCGTGGTTATTCAAAGGAGCAGATGGTTTATGCACCACGCACAGACCCCCAGCCAGGCAGCGCCAGCCGGGCAGCGGCAGCCGGGCAACGGCGGCTCGGGCGCTATGTTCTCGAGACACTCTGCGCAGCCTCTCTCAGCCAACTTCCAGCGGCGGCGAGGCTGGAAGCAGAGGATAGTGTTAGATCCCAAAGAATAACCGTTTGGGTGCCCCGCTCAGTATCCTCGACAAGGTGCAACCAGTCAAGCGCCGCCATGCGGGCGCCCAGTATCGCCGCCTGCTCTCTGCACGCCGCCGCTGGCCGCTGCGCTCCCCAGCCGCTTCCTGCCGGGCGTGCCTTCACGCCAGCTCCTTGAACTTGGCCACCTTGTCCTGGATCATCGCCAGCTGCTCCGCCGCCTCCGCCGCTGCGGCCCGCACCTCCGCCACCACCTGCTCCGGAGCCTTGTCCACAAACGCGCGGTTGCCCAGCCGCCCCTGCAGCGCCGCCAGCTCCTTCTCCAGCTTTCCCTGCTGCTTCTGCAGCCGCTCAATCTCCTTGGCTGCAGCGGGGCGCCAGGCGGAGGGCAGCAGGGACGGGGGGAACTCGAGTCGGCCGCCGGCGCATGCGGCACACTCACGTGGCGACCGGCTGACCTCACATCCTGAGCCGCAGGCCCCGCCCCGCCCCGCCCCCACCCCACCCCAGCTGGGCCGCCGCCGCACCTGCATCGAAGAGGCCCGCCATGGGCAGGAAGGCCTCCACTCCCTCTCGCACCACCAGCTCGATCTGCCCCTTCTGCCCCGTTAGCGCCGCGCCCTCCTCCTCCCCCACAAACGCCAGCTGGGCGGGGTCCAGCCGCGCCAGCAGCGCCAGCACCGGCGCCTCGGCGGCCAGGGCGGCGCGCAGGTCGGGGGAGGCCACGCGGAAGGTGGCCCCCACCCTGCGCCCAGGCTCCACGCCGTACTCGGCCCGCGCGTTGCGTACCGCCCGTACCGCCGCCTGCAGCGCCTCAAACTGCGCCGCCGCCGCCTCGTCCACCGCCGCGTCGGCCGAGGGCCAGGGCGCCGCGATCAGCGCAGCGCCCTGGTGCGGCGTGGCCTGCAGGTGCGCCGCCCGGGGCTGGCGGTGAGCGGGAGGCGCGGGGCCGACACTCCTGAGCGCACCCCCACATCCACGCACCCGCATATATCCTGCACCGCCTACACCCATCCCAATCTCACACTCCTGGCCCACACCGACGCCCCCACCCTACCCCCACCTGCCACATCTCCTCTGTGATGAAGGGCATGAATGGGTGCGCCAGCTTCAGCACCTTATCGTACACATACACCAGCACCGCACGGGTCTGGCGGCACACGGTGCGGGGGGGCGGGGGGGGGCAAGCAGGCGGGGTGGGGGGCTCGGGGCACGCGATGGGACGGCGGCAGGGGCGAGGGCAGGAGGGGAGCGAGGCCCAGGCGGCTGCTCGTGCCTCACGCACCACCCAGACTTGCATTCACATGCACACGCACACGCGCACGCTCCCACGCCGCCGCCGCCGCCCCACCTGCGCCGCCGCCGCCGCGTCCTCCCCGTACAGCCGCGCCTTGGCCGCCTCGATGTACCAGTCGGCAAAGTCGCTCCACACAAAGTCGTACAGCAGGCGTCCCGCCTCGCCAAAGTCAAACCTGCGGGGTGGGGACGGCGCGGTGCGGCGCGGCGAGGGGGCGGCGAGGGGGCCGTGAGGGAGCAGGCCAGTTGCCAGCCGGGCGATGCGGCGCTTCCGCAGCACCAGGGGTCGCCCGGCAAAGCACCCAGCCCAGCTCAGCCCGGCCCAGCCCCGCCCCTGTGGTCCTTTGATGCTTTCATCCAGGCAGCCTCACAGCCGCCGCGCTCACCGCTCGTGCGCTGCGGTGATGTCACGCACGGCGCGGTGCAGCGCCGACACCACCCAGCGCTCGGGCAGCGCCAGGCCGGCCGTGGCGGCGGAGCTGCTCAGGTCGGCGGTGGCCAGGCGCTGCCACTCGGCGTCGTCCGCCTCCCCCAGGTTGAACAGCACAAACTTGCCGGCGTTCCAGAGCTTGTTGGTGAAGTTGCGGGAGGCGTTGACGCGGTCCAGGCTGCAAAGCGGGCGGCAGGGCAGCGGGCGCAGCGTGGGCGCAGCACGGTCGACGTGTGTCCTTACGGTGGCAGCCAGGGCACCAGGCAGCCAGCTGTGGAGGGAGAGGAGCAGGGTGTGCAGCCGGGCAGCAGGGCCTGGCGCCTTCCCCCACCTGAGGTTTAGGTCCTGGCCAGGCGAGGTGCCCGTGGCGAGGGTGAAACGCAGCGCGTCTGCGGCGCGCAGGGCGGAGCGGCGGCGGCACACACACACAGGGGTCGGGCTGGGTGGCACAGCACATCACAGAGGCTGCCCACGGGCCCAGAAACTGATAGATTCCCCGCCGGCACGCCCCGGCGGGGAATGCACAAAGATGTGCCCACACGCCTGCGTGCGCGGTATGGCGTGCACCCACCCGCGCCGTACTGCTGTATCGTCTCCACAGGGTCCACCACATTGCCCAGCGACTTGCTCATCTTGCGGCCCTTCTCGTCGCGCACCTGCGCCGGTACAGGGCAGCGGTACAACACAGCGGTACGTGCATCGTCACCTCGGCTGCCTCCGCCACCCAAAGCTCGCAACGCAGCCCCAGCCCGGTGCATTGCCATGCGCCTCAGGGCCCCGCCCCCTGCCCCCTGCCCGCCAGCCCCAGCCTATAGCAAGCCCCCCCGCCAGGCGCACCAGTCCGTGCAGGTAGACTGTGTGGAAGGGCGGCCTGCCGGTGCACTCCAGCCCCATCATGATCATGCGTGCCACCCAGAAGAAGAGGATGTCGTGGCCCGTCTCCATCACAGCGGTGGGGTAGTAGCTGCGGTGGTGGTGGCGAGGGGTGGCGGGGGAGGCGGGGTGGGGAGGGTCGCAGGGCAGCGCAGGGAGGCAGGAGGCAGGGGCCAGGGCAAGCAGGGGCAAGCGATGCCGCAGCACGCTGATGGCATGCACGGAGGAGCCCTTGCCAGATCCGCCAGGCACACAGCAATGGATGCACCACACCGCACTCACCGCTCCAGGTCGGGCGTGGCATTGGGCCAGCCCAGGGTGGAGAAGGGCCACAGTCCCGAGCTGAACCAAGTATCCAGCACATCGCTCTCCTGCTTCAGCACCACGTCCGGACCGTACTGCTGTACCGCCCTGTCCCGCGCCTCCCCCTCGCTCTTGGCCACAACGTACCGCTCGCTGCTGGCCGCCGCCGCCGCCGCCGCCTCGTCATCAAACACATACCTGCTCGCAGGGGTGGCAGCGGTGGGAGGTGCGTGTTGTGTGCTTGTGAGGACCCGAGGCCCACGAGCGACTGCCTCTACGCCTTCTCCCGCCTCCCTGCAAAGCCCCCACCCCCGCCTTCACCCCTCGCCGCTCCATCCTGCACCCTGCTCCCCGGCGCCAGCGGAACCCCGCTCACCACACGGGTATGCGGTGGCCCCACCACAGCTGGCGGGAGATGCACCAATCCTTGATGTTGTCCAGCCAGAAGTTGTACACCTTCTCAAAGCGGTCGGGCAGGATGCGGATGGCACCGCTGGCCACAGCCTGCGCGCCGCGGCGGTGGCAAGGAGGGGCACAGCGCATGAGCGCGATGCAGGGAGGGCGGGGGGTGGGCACGTGAAGGGAGCACACGGGCCTCGGCAGGCAGGATGGTGCGCTGTGATGAGGCGGCGGCTTGGCAACCCATCCACCACCAACACCAACGCAACCCCTACCACAATCAAGACCACAACCACCAAAGCCCCAATCGCAACCAGTAGGGCCCACAGCTGCCACAGGCACCGCCACAGGCGCCGCCCACCTCCAGTGCGGGCTTGGCCAGCGGCTCCATGCGCACAAACCACTGCTCCCGCACCAGCGGCTCCACAATCTCGCCACCCCGCTGCGACCGAGGCACGCGCATCTGCGGGCGGCAAGGTGGGTGGGTGGGGGGTGGGGGGAGGACACGGCGTAACTTGGTGGGTTGGTGGGAGGAACGGCGGGTGGGCGAGGGAGGAGGCAACCTTGCATACAGCGTGCAGGGCAAAGAGACGCGCATGCAGGAGGAGCAGCCGGCGCCCGGTGTCGCGCCTGGTAGGGCTCCTGCTTGATCACCAGCCCCTGCTGCTCCATGTCCGCCCACAGCTGCTTGCGGGCTGCAGGGCGGGAGGGCAGGCAGGGGCGAGGAGGGGGGGGTCAACATCTGCAGGCGGCTCACTCGCAGCACACCCATCCCCACAGCCCACCAGCTACCCTGGGGCACCCCGCCGGCCCTCAGCAGTGCCCGCCCACCTGCAAAGCGCTCCATGCCGGCATACGGCCCCGCAGCGGCGTTGAGGGTGCCGTCGTCGTTCATGATGTTGATTATCTCCAGCCCAAACCGCTTCCCGATCTCGTAGTCGTTGACGTCGTGGCCTGAGGTGGGAGAAAAGAAAGAAACGGGTGGAAACAAGGAAGGGAGGAGCGGTGGGTGGTGGCGGTGGTGGTGGTCGGTGGTTGCGCGGGCGAGCATGGTGAGGGTCTGTTCAGTGAGCGTGTCTGGCACGGCACCGTGGCGAGGCATGGCGTGGCAGCAGCGCTTCAGGGCCACAGTCTGCACGGTGCCTGCCCACACCCACCGGGCGTGATCTTCAGCGCCCCCGTGCCAAACTCTCGGTCGACGTACTCGTCGGCGATGATGGCGATGCGGCGCCCGCTCTGCGGCACCACCGCCTCCCGCCCCACCAGGTGCTTGTACCTGCAGGCGGGCAGGCAGGTGCGTAAGTGGCATGGGGGGGGCGCACAGCGGGCTGCTGACAGCAAGGGCGCACACGGTGCAGGCAGGCAGGAGGACGGGCAGGCGGGCAGGCATTGATGAGGCGCATGTATCCGGCGCATGGGGAGAGCGAGGGCGGCGTATCGTACCGCTCGTCCTCTGGGTGTACCGCCACGGCCGTGTCCCCCAGGATCGTCTCGGGGCGGGTGGTGGCCACAGGCAGGAACTCCTCGCTGTCTGCGGCACGGCAGCAGCACGCGGCTCCCATCAGGCGCGGGCGCCCCGGCAGCAGCGCCACCACAGGCAGCAGTATCCCACCAGCAGTACCCCCCACCCTTCCCCAGGGCCACCCACCCGCCACCGGATACTTGAAGTAGTACAGCGTGCCCGCCTCCTCGCTGTACTCCACCTCCAGGTCGCTCACGGCTGCAGGGGGCAAGAGGAAGCTGGCAGGGGCGCGTGAGGTGGCCCGCAGTGGGTGCAGGCCGTGTGGGCCAATGGCAAGGCGCCACCACTGACAAACTGCTGCCGCCCGGCCTTGCCAAGCCGCCCACCCGTCTGCAGCCCCGGCGACCAGTTGACCATGTATGAGCCGCGGTAGACCAGCCCCTTGTCATGCAGCCGCACAAACGCCTCCAGCACGGCCTCTGCGCCAGGTGACGGAGGGGGAGAGGAATAGGGAGGGGGTGGGGTGGGGAGGTGCAAAGAGATGGCAGGTGGGCAAAGTAGGCCTGCTGGGAGCGGTGCCCCCACACCCCTGCCTGCCGCTGGATTCCAGCGCCCGTAGGCACTCCACCACCATCCCTCGCCCCACCACCACCACCACGCACACCAGACCACACACACTGCACCCCCTGCTGCCCCCCTCAGCCCTCCCTCCCCGCTGCAGCCCCTGCCCGCCTCACCGCTGAGCCCCTCATCCAGCGTGAACCGCTCGCGGCTCCAGTCGCAGGAGGCCCCCAGGCGGCGCAGCTGCTGCGTGATGAAGCCGCCGTACTGCGCCTTCCAGGCCCACACCTCCGCCTCAAAGGCCTCCCGCCCCAGGCTGCGCCGGTCCCGCCCCTCGGCCGCAAGCTGTTTCTCCACAACCATCTGGGTGGCAATGCCGGCGTGGTCTGCGGCAGCAGGGACAAGGCAGAGGAAGGCAGGCGGCGTGCTTGGTGGCAAGGGAAACGAGAGAGGAGGCAAGAGTAGGCACGCCCGCTGGCGGTCCGCCGGGCGGGGGGTGGAGGAGCGCATGGCAGGCGCAAGTCGGCGGGCCAGCGGCGCCGCCGGCCTGCCGCCCGCACCTGTGCCGGGCAGCCAGAGGGTGGGCCTGCCGCGCATGCGCTGGTACCGCGTCATGATGTCCTGCAGGTACCACAACAACGATCACACCTGGCCTTGCGTGCAGCCATGCACGCCGCCGCGCCCGCACACGCCCCCACGCTTGCCTGCAGCGTGACAAACATGGCGTGTCCCATGTGCAGCTTGCCGGTGACGTTGGGGGGCGGCATGGAGATGACGTAAGGCTCCCCCGCTGCCGACTCGTCGGGCTTGAAGTAGCCGCTGCTCTCCCACCTGTTTTGGCGCAGGCAGGCGGCACAGGATGGAGGGGCGGCGGTGGGCCCAAGGCAGGCGGGCAGGCACGCGGGCAGGCAGGCGCTGTGGTGCGCGGCACGACGAGAGCAGAGCTGCGGGGGCCTGCTTTGGCTGCCCAGCCAGCCGCCACCTCTCACCACTGGTACAGCGCCTCCTCGCTGGCCGCCGGATCGAAGCTCTTGGGCAGCTCCTTGCGCAGCGGGCTGGGCGAGGGCGCAGCCGCCTGCGGCTCTGCCTCTGCCGTGCTGCTGGCGGCGGCCGCCGCCAGGCGCCGCTCCCGCTGCCGCTGCGGTGCCGCTGTGGGCAGCCCCTGCTGCCTGCCGCCTAGCGCATTGCCTAGATGGCAGCCTGCTGAGCTGCGCCGCAGTGCTGCCAACCTAAAGGGCAGGCGCCCTGGCCTGAGGCTGTGCTGCGACAGTGCGGCCGGCATGTTGGGCTGGGCGCGCCAGAGGGTTCTGCAGACACTCAGCAGCGACCTAGCAGCACATGCATTCATGAGCTGGGTGGCTCAGCCCTGTAGCATATGGCTGGCCCGAAAGGGTGCCGGTGTGGCAGTGCTTGGAGCGACTGGGCGGAAAGAGGGGCAGCTGGAAGCTTGAGCACTGGCAATTGCAAGATCGGCATGGCGTGTGGTGCGCAGACCCATCCGGCTGGGCCCTGCTGCGTGCTGGGCCTCTCCCTCTACCGAGGTGTGGGCCCGCTGGCAGCCCCTGTAGTGTCGCTTCGTACCTGCGTGCGCTGCACGTTGCTGCCGAGACATGCCCCGCCTCTGAGGTCCTCCTCTTGACCGCCGCGTGATCGCAAGTCCTGCCCGGGGCCCCCACAGCACCAGCATGACCGATCCCACGGTGGAGCTGTACATTGCAACTCTGTCCGAGGTGCAGCGGCAGTCGGCAGTGCACCTGGGCAGCGCCAGCGACGCCACCGCCGGCGGCGGCGGCGCCGCCTCGGACAGCAACGGCTGGGTGGTGCTGGAGAGCCAGTCCACGACCGCGCAGCTTCCGGGGGAGACTGGGTGCAGCGTGTGGCCGCAGCAGCAGTGGCAGATCGCCTATGAGATCCTGGTGAGAGCTGGGCGCCTGGGCAGCCATTCCCGGTCGGCACGCGCGCCCCCCTTGCCCGCCTGCCTGTTGCCTTCCACCTACTTGCTCCTGCGCACGGCAGCGCAGCGCCTGCACCTCTGTGTGGTGGTCAGCATGCCAGATCGAGCCTGACTGGCCCACACAGAGCCCCAGCTGTCACCCACCGCCCTGCCGCGACTCGCCCGGCTGCCCTCCCGGCCCGCAGTTCTGCCAGTGCCCGCCCTCCATCGCCCGCCTGCGCCCCCACCAAGCCGACGACCTGCTCTTCTTCGCTCTGACAGACGAGGCAGCGGTGCTGGCCCGCACCCGCCTCATCGTGCGGCGCCGCCAGGCCAAGCAGGCCGCGCTGCCGCCAGACCTGGCCGCGGCGACGGAGGAGCCCGGGGGGGCGCCCGCTGCCGCCGCCGCCAGCAGCAAGGCGGCGCAGGTGGACTGGCGCGCCTCTGTGCTGCTCATGGTCGTACTGCAGTCAGCGTACCGCCTGTCCGTGGTGACTGCCGAGGATGCGGAGCTGCTGAGCGCGTTTGTGGACGGCCCACCCGGCGGCACCGGCGGCGGCGGCGGCACCAGCACGCAGCCTGCCGCCAGCGGCGCCGCCTCGGCTGTGCACCAGGTCACCAAGGTGGTGCACGCCTCGCCCAGGTGAGGGCAGCGCAGCAGCCCTGGCCTCTTGTCCCGCCCGGCAATCGCATGCAGCAAGCGCACCAGCGAATGGCCGCAGCTGCGCCCAGAGCGGCGGCGGCCACTCGCTCGCCTGCCTTGCCTGGGCCTCGCCCGCGGGCCCATGCTGCCCTCTGCCAGTGCCTGCTCCCCCCACACGCTCGCCACCCCCGACCCCTCCCTACCTGCCCGCCCGCATGGCGCCGCAGCCATGTGCCTGTCAACCTGGACAACAGCCGGTCTGACGAGGGGCGGCCGCAGTCCTCATACCCTGACATCTGCTTTGCGGTGGACACGTGCGACGACGCTTTCCAGTCGCAGGTGCGAATTTCTGGTCTGGGGTGTGGATTGGTGGCTGTGAATGAGTGGTGATGATGGCAGATGCGGGGCAGGTGTTTGTGTGAGAGGAAGGGTGGCTTCCTGCTGACGGCCTGCCGGCATGCCAGCAAAGCATGAGGACTTTCTGCACCTGCTGTGCCCCCCTTGCTACCTGCGCAGGTGCTGCGCCAGCCGGCAGACTGCTACTGCGTGCTGCTGCATGCAGACGTGTCGGCCTCCTGGCGCCTGCCGGCCGCGCGGGCAGCGAGCACTGCCGGCAGCGACGGCGGCGGGGCAGAGGCAGCAGGCACGGCCGACGCTGCGGCAGCGCAGCTGGCAGGACTGACGTTGTCGCGGCAGCAGGCGGGGGGCTCGCAGCCCCGCCGTAGCAGCAGCAGGAGCAGCAGCAGCGGGTCCACCTGGCTGAGCGCCAGGTCTGATGCCAGGGCGGAGCAGGCGACCGTGTTTTCGGGGTATGTGAGCCACAAGCAGCTCACAGCAGCACTGGGTAGCCAGCTGGCAGGGGACCCTGTGCGGCAGGTGCTGCGGGCTGCGGCAGCTGCAGCCAGGGGAGAGCAGCAGGCACAGCAGCGCGAGGCGCAGCCGCTGGCCACCACCCGCGTCACGATGCGGGGCCCCGCCGGCAGGGGCGCTGCTGACGTGGCGGTATCCAGCTACGCGCCACCTGGCGTCGGCGGCGCCGTGCCAGCAGGCCAGCAGCCCGCGGCGGGCGGCGGCAGGCTGGGGCTGTTTGGGCGCGCGGCGCTGCTGGTCAGGGGCATGGCGGCAGCTGCCAAGCAGGCGGCGGGGCCCAAGGAGGGCGGTACTGCCAGCGTGGAGCAGCTGCACCTCAGGTGTGCGCTCATGACGCTGCAGGTACCCGTGGAGATGCTGGCAGACAGCATCCTGCGGGCGCTGCAGCAGTAGGTGCCACTGCCAGCCGCTGTTCCTCCACCACCGCCATGTACAACGGCGGGCTCACCACTCTCCAAACCACCCCCCTCTTGCTGAGCGCACTTGCCAGGCGCCTGTAACTGTAACTCCTCCCGCTGCCATGGCCAGCACAGGCGCTTACAGGCCAGGGTGGCAGCGGGTGCTGCCCAGCCAGCTGGGCGCAGCGCCCTACCAGGGCTGCGCCGCCTTGCCGGCCGCCCGCAGGTCCCGCATCAGGCTGCCCATCTCCACCGCGGTCACCGCCGCCTCGCCGCCCTTGTTGCCCACCTTGCCGCCCGCGCGGTCCAGCGCCTGCACGGCAGGCAGGCAGGGGCGGCGGCAGCGCCTCAGGCAGGACACGCGTCAGCAAACACCCAACCAACCGCCTCCAGACAGCTGCTGCCTGTGTCCATCCTCCACTCTCCCCTAACCCACACAGAACACCCGCCGCCGCCACCACCGCCACCACGCTCGGTACCCTGGCCACCATGCCTGCCACGCCACCGCCGCTGTCACCACCGCCGCCGCCACGCTTTCCTCCCCTTCCCCGCCAGGCGCCCCCGCACCTGCTCCATCGTGTCGCAGGTGAGCACCCCGAAGATGACGGGAACGCCGCTGTCGGTGGAGGCGCCCAGCACGCCGCTGGTGGCGCCGCCCACCACGGCGTCGTAGTGCGCGGTGGCGCCCCGCACCTGTCGCACGGGCAGGGGAGGCCAGGGGTGAGGGCAGGGGGCCCAGGCGAGGGGCGCAAAGGGGAGCGGGGAAACGGGCGGCCAGCAAGAGGTGGCAGATGGGAGGGAGCAGGGGTCACAGGGAGGGCACAGGGGCAGGTGCCAGCTGGGCGACCCCCCCGCAGCTGCCGGGCTCACCACCACGCCGATGCACACCACTCCGTCGTACTTGCCGCTCTTGGCCATGGACTTGGCCACCACCGGCAGCTCGAAGCTGCCCGGCACCCAGGCAACCTGCAGGCAGGGGGAGGTTGGCACGCACGCAGCGCCGCCGCGTCAGGCGGGCAGACGCCGGCTGGCCGGCTGGCCCTCTACGCAGCTGCTGCGTGTGTACCTCGCCATGCTGCTGCTGCTGCTGCTGCTGCTGTGCCCTGCTGCCTGCCGTGCTGCCAGGCCCTGCAGGGGCACAAGGCCTGCAGGGGCGCCAGCTCACGTCGACGTCTGCGGCGGCGACGCCGTGGCGGTGGAAGGCGCCCATGGCGCCCTCCAGCAGCAGCTTGGTGACCAGGTCGTTGAAGCGGGCCACCACCACGCCAAACTTCATGCCCGTGCCAACGAGGCTGCCCTCGTACGCGCCGCCCGCGGCTTCTGCCCGTGCGGGGGCCGCCCGCCGCCGCCGCTGCTGTTGCCGCGACGGCACGGGGGCTGCTGGCAGGGCAGGCGGGGGACAGCGGCACATTGGCTCGTCAGTGGTGGGGCGTCACCAGGAAGAGGGAGGGACGCGAAGAGCAGCCGTGTGGGTCGCTCTGACCAACGCAAAGTCGGGGATGCCGTCACCCGCATACCTGCTGCGACACGGCCGCTGCGCACTGCCATCACTGACATCGGGCGTGCCGGGGTACGATGCGCGGCCTGGGCCTGCACGCTGACCTGCTGCAGGCAAGCGTAAGCCATGTTGGGTGTTTGCGTTATCCGGCGGTGCGCACAGCTCTGAAATGAGGTTAGGGGGCAGTGTTCAGCTAAAGCGAGCCGCCGATCGACAATGCGGCATGTAGAGGCATGCATGTGCAGTCCCTGGGCGGCCGCCGCCCATGCGCCCAGCGCCCATGCATGCCCGCCCCAACAATGCGGTTCGCGGGCACCTTTCGTCGGCCCATCTGCTCAATTTAGTCTTGAAGTATGTCTGGTAAGCGCTAGTCGAAGGTGCTAGTGATGTCCCATGGTTCGGGCTCAGAAGCCTGCGCTTCGTCGCGGCGCCGTGGCGCCCCCGGCCTGGTGCGACCACAAAGACCGAAGAGAGCTGCTGATTAACCTGCACCTGTGTCGTACATTAAACTGACCTTCGTTTCTGCAGGGGTCCCAAAGGTTCACGGGCAGGGGAAGCCCTCCTGGCTCAGCTGCTTTGCTTTGCTATTGCAAGGGCTTTGGCGCCAGCCGCCAGCCAGGCACGCCACCTGTCTGGGTAAAATAAGAGCAGGGTTCAGCCACAGAGTAAGTTATGCGCCATCAGTCAACAACAGCAACAAGTGAGCTTTGCACAATAGAGACAGAGCCCTTCTGCCGGGTTGTGTGTTGAGCGTCGCAAACCCTGCCGGCCGTCCTGCTTCGGTTCCAGCGCAGCCGCTGTTGATGCACAGGGCGGTGGGACGAGCTGCGTTGCAGCGCATAAGGGGCTGGGCCGCTGGCGCCGGCGGCCCAGACGCCGCCGCGCTAGAGCCTTGCCGCCCGCCGCGTGGCCTTGCAGTGGCTAGCACTGTGGCTGGAGAAAAGGCAGAGGGCTTGCCATCGCGATACAGTAATTTAGATGAGCTGGAGGTAGATGCCAAGCCCCTTCTGACCCCCCAGGTGTGGCAGCAGCAAGCAATGCAGAGCAAGCCGGCGGCACCATGTTCAGCTTGCGGCATTGCTGCTTGCCCCAGCCAGTGTGTGCTGTGCACACATCATGCTTGCAGGCATACGGATACTATGCTGGCGGATCAGACGACGAATGGACGCTACGGGAGAATGCGGCGGCCCTGAGGCGCTACCGCCTGCTGCCGCGCGTGCTGGTGGATGTGTCAGCTGTGGACACCAGCACGGTGCTGCTGGGTGAGATGGGCGTGTGTGGGGAGGCAGGCGACGGCTGACATGCGCAGCATTGGTGTATGAGACGCCGTCTCCACCCGCCGGCCCCGGCTGCCCGCTCCCTGCCCTTTCGGTGTGCGTTGCTGGGCAGGCATGCCCACGCCAGCCTGGCCGCCGGCGCGCGTGCAGGCCAGGCGCTGTCCGCCCCCATCCTCTTTGCGCCCATGGCGCAGCAGCGGCTGTGCCACCCCGACGGCGAGCTGGCCATGGCCCGGGCGGCGGCCGCCTGCGGGCTGCCCTACATCCTTTCCACCATGGCCACCAGCTCCATCCAGGAGGTGGCCGAGGCGGTGCAGGTCCGCGGCGGCGGCGGCGGCGGCGGCGGCGCGGGGGCCGACCCCAACCTGTGGTTCCAGATCTATGTGATGAAGCGGCGGGATGTGACGGAGTGGATGGTGCGGGAGGTGACGGCGCTGGGGTACCGCGCGCTGATGGTCACGGTGGACGCGCCGCGCCTGGGTGAGGCGCAGCAGCAGCAAGCCAGGCACGCCCTGCTGGCTGCCATTTGCCCGGGCATGCTTGTCTGGGGTGGTGGTAGGGGGATGCGGCGGCGCCTTGTCAGCGCCGGCGCGCTGGATGAGTGGTGCAGCGCCTTGGCGGTCTCCTGATCGACCAGGCGCCCCCAACTCCTTTTTTTACACGTCCCGGGCCCCGCCGCCCGCTGCTGCCGCCGGCCGCAGGCCACCGCGAGGCCGACGACCGCAACCGGTACAGCCTGCCGCCGCACCTGAGCATGAAGAACCTGGAGATGCTGACGCGGGCGGCGGCCACCACGGAGGGCGTGGAAGCGGAGGGCTCCAAGTTTGGGCGCCACTTCTCCGACCTCTTTGACCAGCGCCTGGACTGGGGCGCCATCGCCTGGCTCAAGTCCATCTCCCCGCTGCCGCTGCTCATCAAGGCGAGGCGCCACGCCGCTGCCGCTGCCGACGCTGCTGGCATGCCCGCTGCCGCCGCTGCTTGCTCTCGCCCCCTCAGCTCCTCGGCTGCGTCAGCGCAGCGCAGCACAGCCCACCAGCCGAGGCTTTGGCTCGTAGCCTCCTGACAGCCCTCTGCCCCGGCCCACACCCACCCGTGGGTGTCTGCAGGGGGTGCTAGCCCCCGATGACGCGCGGCGGGCGGTGGAGCTGGGCGTGGATGGCATCATCCTGAGCAACCACGGCGGCCGGCAGCTCAACTACGCCCCCGCCGCCATCGACATGCTGCCCTCGGTGGCCGAGGCGGTGGCGGGGCGCGTGCCGCTGCTGGTGGATGGCTGCGTGACGCGAGGGACGGGTGCGTGGTGTGGTGGGCGTGCAGGCCGGGGCTCGGGGCCGCCTGCCCCTGCCGCCCTGCTGTGGGGCGCCGCGATGCGTGCTGCATGTGTGCGCCATCAGCGGCCGCCGGCCCTGCGCCTGGGCGTGCCAGGCTGACCCCACAGGGTGCCTATTTCCGGCCCCTCCCCACCGTCTCCGCCCCCTGCAGACGTGATCAAGTGCTTGGCCCTGGGCGCCAGCGCGGTGCTGGTGGGGCGGCCGCTGCTGTGGGCGTTGACGCTGGGGGGGCAGCGGGGCGTGGAGGAGGCGGTGGGGATGCTGCGCTCCGAGCTGGAGCTGAGCATGGCGCTGCTGGGCACCTCGGCCGTGGGCCAGATCACACCCGACTTTGTCATCCCGCCGCGGGAGGGCCTGCTGCAGATCCCCGCAGCGCGGCGGTGACAGCCCGGCGCCGCCTGCCGCCGCTGTTTCCAAGTAGGCATTGCTTTTTAAATGTTTAATCGATCATTTATGCGCATTCATTGTGCAATTCTGCTTGGTGTTCATGCCGGCAGGAGAAACACACAGGGAAGCCCGCCGGCGACATGGCGCCAGCGGTGCCACTTTTCGCCCAAGCCTGGAGCGGGGGGCACCTCCTCCTGACTTGTTGATCATACATATTGCTCGACCCAAATGGCCGCCTTGGCAGGCTACGCACAGCAGCGATGGCTCACTGTCCCACACAGCTCGCGGCAGCAGCGGCAGTGGCCCTCCCGAAGAGTCTTGACAGCGATACGCTCACAAGAGCAAGGCGGGCCTGACAGCAATGATGCAGGGCAGGCCCAGCCGCCGCCGCCGCCAGCCGCCGCCGCCAGCCAGCCGCCGCCGCTCCCTCCCAACCCCCTGTCAGACCCTGCTGGCGTGGTGGTTTACGGCGGCAGGCTGCCTCCAGCCCGGAGGCTAGTCATTAGTGGCCTGTCGGCAACAGCCATCGGTGAGCAGCCGGTGGCTCCACACAGCCCCAGCCTGCACATGCCACTCTGCGCCGGCCACACATCTCACCCGCTGGCACCGCCCACGCGCTTTCCAATGCTGCAGTGCTGGGCGGCAACCTGTTTGGCGTCACCTCCTGGCTGCTGTCCCTGGATGGCGGCAAGCTGGCCGGAGCCACCAACCTGGATGTGCTGGTGCCGGTGGGCGGCTCCCGCCGCTGCCTGGACGCCCAGAACGGTTTCACCTTCCTGTACCCCGCCCGCTGGCTTGCCGACCAGACGCTGTACAGGCGGTACGCCGAGCGCATCGAGCGCGAGGCGGCGCTGGATCCACCCTCGCTGAGCCGCGCGCGGGCGCGGCGGCAGGGCGCGCCCGAGCCCGCGGCCGCGTTTGGGCCGCCGGGCAGCACCGGTGCGGGCTGCGCGTGCATGCGGCCTGTTGTTTACATGGCGCGTCACGGCATGCCCTGCCCTGGCCGTGCCCGCCGCCCTCCCTGCGCCCAGCTGCCGCCTCGCCCCCCTGCTGGCCGCTGCGCGCAGGTGAGGAGAACATATCTGTGGTGGTGGCGCCCATACGCGACGGCTTCGCGCTGCGCCAGATGGGCAGCCCCCAGGAGGCGGCGGCTCGCTTCCTGGAGACCACAGGCGCGCGGCGGCAGCCCGGGGCGCGGGCAGGGGCCTGGGGGCAACCAGCCGCCGCATCAACCCCGCGCCACCCTCTAGCCCGCCACCTCCCTGCTGCCTGCGCAGCCGAACAGAGATCTCGCCTGCCCGCCAACCTGCCCGCCCGCCCGCGTGCGTGCAGTGGCGCCGGAGGGGTCTGGGCGCACGGCGGTGCTGCTGGGCGCGGGGGAGCGGCGGGACGCCGGCGGCGAGCTGTACTACTGGCAGGAGTTCACTGTAAGGTCGGAGCGCTTCTACCGCCACAACCTGTCAGGTGGGGGGGTGTGGGGCTGGATCAGAGGCCAGGGCCGCCGACTAACGGCTGGCTGGCTGGGTTGGTGGGCAAGCGGGTCGCTCCCGGCGCCCCTGTGAAGCGCTGTCTGCCGCGCCCTGCTGCCGCGCAGTGTACGCGGCACGCAACGGCCTGCTGTACACGCTCAACTGCCAGAGCGCGGAGGAGCGGTGGGGCGGCCACGTGGCCGCCTTCCGCAAGGCAGCCGACTCGTTTGCAATCCTCAACTCGGGGGCCGCCGCCGCCGGCTTCCCCGACCGGCTGTGAGGCGGGCGGGCAGGCGGGCAAGCAGGCAGGCGGGCGTGCAGGCAGCATGCATAGCCGTGCAGCAATGACCCCGGGCTGTCGCACCCTCCCTCTGCTTGACCGCATGTGCACTCCAGACTCCCTGTTGCATTGAATGCGGTGGCAACAGAGCAGTGCATCCACAAATGGGTGACAGCAGAGCGTCACTCAATCATGAAGTCGTCTAGCGTCATCTCCCCCTTGGCTATGGCCGCCATCCCATCCCGCAGCTTGCCGTGCGCTGCCGCAGCACCCAGGGGCGTCTGCCCCTCGATGTCCTCGGCCTGCACGGGTCGGGTCGGGTCGTGTTGGGTTCCGGGGTGAGGGGAGGGACAGCTGGGCCAGGGCGCGCCTCACAGGAGGCCACGCATCATGCATGCATGCAGCAGCCAAGGGGGCGGCAGGCGCAGCTCGCCACGCCGTCCACTGTGACCGGTCAGAGGCTGCCCAGGTCGCACGCAGGCGGCTGCCTAAGCTGTGCGCCCGTGTGCACGTGCCCAGGCCGGGGCGGGCGCCCCCCTGCACCCACCTCCACATCCGCGCCCTGGGCGGCCAGGAACAGGGCGGCCGCCTGGTGGCCTCCTATGGCCGCCAGCAGCAGCGGGGTGGCGCCCTCCTTGTTCCGCGCATCCAGCTTGGCCTTGCCCCCAGCCAGCAGCACCCGCATCACGTCGACTCTTCCCATGCTGGCGGCGCGGTGCAGCGGCGAGTCCCCCAGCACGTCGCGGCAGCCGCTCTGCGCGCCGCTCTGCAGCAGCAGGCTCGCCAGCGCCGCGAGCCCCTTGCTGCAGGCGTAGTGCAGGGCCGTGCGCTGCTGCTGCGTGGCGGCGTTCACGTCGGCCCCCAGCGAGACCAGCAGCCTGGCAGTCGCCTCCTGCCCTGCCGAGGTGGCGGTGTGCAGGGGCGTCCAGCCCTGGAGTCGGGGCAAGCGCATTGCATCGGCAGGTGGGCATGTCATACGATGAGCGGATCTGGGCGTTGCCTTTGCAGCTCACAAGCAAAGCCGCAGCAGGGGATGGCAGAGGCGGCGGCGGCGGGCGGCGGGCGGGCGGACGCCCACCTCTTCGTCTGCCGCATTCACGAGCCCTTTGGCCCCTGGTTGGTCTGCTAGGTACTGAACGAGGGCCGGGTTGCTGCTTGCACAGGCCGTGTGCAAGAGGCTTCTTTCATCCTCGTCCTTCTGGGTGACAAGCGCAGCCAATTGATCTTCAGGCAAGGAAGAGAAGAAGATCAGATCGCCCTGGCGCGCCGCCTCTACCGCCCTGTCCATTATTTTCAGGGCTGCCAAAATTGGACTTTGGAGCTGGAGCTCTCCAAACAGGGGTCACACAAGGGTCACAAGGATGCAGTGAGTGGATAAAGGGGCCCTCGGTGCAGTTGGATCTCAATTCTCAACAGTGTCGCAGTGCGCCCCGCTGGCAATTCCGCCGCCGCCCGCCGCCGCCAACACCCTGGCGTGGCAGCTGTTGCCTGGTATATATGCTGTGCAACTGTTGGCTGCTGTGCAAGGTGTCAGCTGGGATGTAAGTTGGGGACATCTGGCGCAGAGCATTCACGGGTGCTTACAAGGTTTGGTGCTTGACATGAGAAAACACGAGAGGATGCCGGTCTGGCAGCATGCACCGCAGTGTATGCCAGGAGCAAAGGAACGATTGGCCGAGGAATGGCGGCAGGCAGGCACCCAACTAGCAAATTAAGAAGTGCGTTGAGAGCGAGTGAGTAGAGATCAATACAAAGGAGTTCACACTGAGCGCCGCGCGCGGCAGCGCCGTCAAGCAAGGAGAAGAGGAGGCACGTCAACGGGTCAAGCAAGTCGTCACAGGCACCATGCAGGGGCTCCAATCTAATCGACGGCGAACACCATGCCAGGCTGTCAAGTCGGGTCTGATACGGTGCTACGTTGTCGCGGCGAAAACAGAAACAAGCGGTCATAGACACATAAGTTCAATCAACCTCATCGGTCTTGGTGGCTGGGCGAGCCAGCCAGCACCAGCTGGCTGCCGCCGGCTCCACGCCAACAGCCGCCTGCCTCACCGCATGCTGGACAGCACACCGCGGGCAGCCGCCGCGGCGCCGCTCTTGTTCAGGTCGAGCGAGGCCAGCTTGGTGGCCGCCTTGCCCAGCTCTTGGGATGCCTGCGCAGCAGCCAGGCGGGCAGCGTGGTCACGAGGGACGAGCAGCCCAGGCTGCCATCGGCAGAAGCAGCGGCACGGCAGGCAGGCGCGGCACGAATGCGGCATGCGCGGGCAGGCGTGTGCCGCCCCTGGCCCCCACACACCTTGAGGTTTGCCGCCGCCCCGCCCCCCGGCAGGCTGCTGCGCATGCTCATGTTGAGCGGGTTCTCCTCGCTCTGCCGCAGCTTGGGCGTGTCGGGGTCCCCCTTGGCGCCGTGGCTCTGCTGCTGCGCCAGCGTGGAGTGGATCATGGCAAACTTGCGCTGCAGGCGCTCCACCTGGTGCAGCTCCAGCTCCAGGCTCTTCAGCCGCTGCTCCAGCGCGGCGCGCACCGCGGCCACGTCAAACACCTGCGCGGGATGGCGTGGGGCGGGGGTGGGGCGTGGGGGCAGGCACGTGGGCACCACACAGCCGTCACGGCCGCCGGTCAGGCATCCTCCCGGCCACCTCAGGCTGGCGCTCTTAAAGTCAACCACCGCCGCACATGCGCACGGTTGAGCAGGCAGCCCCCTCCTCCTCCTCCCACAGCCACCCACCCCCTGCCCCACACACACACACCTCATCCAGGTCCTCATCGTACGCGCTCTCCAGCTCCTCCCGCAGTCGGGTGGGGAAGGTGTCGATGATGGGCATGAGGAAGAAGCAGTTGAACTTGAGCTCCACGCTCTGCACGAAGTGGTCGCGGATGCCTGCGGGGCAGGGGGCGGCGCGCGGCGGGGAACACAGCAGGCGGGCTGGTGAGCGGCGGGCAGAGCGGCGCGCATCGCAGCAGATGGCCAACTTACAGGCCGGGCATGGGCGCTCCCTGTGCCCTGCTCCCAGCCCAGTTGACTACATATACGGCTCCCCAGGCCAGCCCCAGCCCCGCAGGCGCCCTGTCCGCCTACCCCGCCCCTGCCGCCAGCTCACCCTCGAAGATCTGGCAAACCAGCGCCGCCACAATCTCCTCGCTCATCGCCCCCAGCGTGCGGTTCCACAGCGTGTTCTCCAGGAAGTCGGCGGTGGCGCCGCTGCCGCCCGCCTCGCCCGCGGAGGCGCTGCCCTTGGCGCCGGAGCCTGCCTGCGCGCCGCTGGGCGCGGTGACCTTGCTGAGCATGGCCTTGAGGGAGGAGCGGCTCTTGGTGTGCAGGGACCAGGTGACGTAGCGGGTGGTGCTCTGCAGGTCCTCCATGCACTTGGTCCTGCAGGGGGGAAGGCAGGGGTGGGGGTGGGGGGTGGGTAGCGGGGTGAGGCAGGTGGAGGCGTGGCGGCGTGAGGAGGGGGAGGGCAGGCAGCGCGACAGGGCAGGGCCAGCAGGGGGAACCCAGTCACCCCAGCGCAGCGCAGCACCCCTGGCGACGCCCGGGTAGCTGTTGAGGACACCCCTGGGCCCCAGCCCTGCCAGCCCCCTCCCCAGAGCCCCCCCACCCCACCCCACCTGCTGCCCTTCTCAAACTCGTCGATGAAGGCGTGGTAGGCGGCGCCCACGCGCTTCAGGAACAGGTCGTGGCCGTTGAGGAACTGGCCGTCCTGCGGGGGGGCGGCGGCAAGGGGGAGGGGGAGGCCCCGGCCGGGCAGGCAGGCAGGTGAGGCAGGGTGTCCCGGCGGCGCGGAGCAGGGCACAGCAGTAGGGCACAGCAGGCACAGCACGCCGCCAGGGGGGTGGTCAGGAGGGCGGGCGGGACCCCGAAGGCGCAGCGGCAGCGCGGCGCCCCACACGCCTCCCCCCCACCACCGAAAAA